AAATTCTTGTCCCGTAATAATGATTAAAAGTTAGAAACTCATTTTTCAAATACGGAGGTTTTCCTGATTTTATTATTCTATAGATGAAATTAAATAAATGATGTTTCCTGCGATTTAGCAAATTCAGTATAGATAAACTGTTTAGGTAAGGTGTTATGTGGTTACGATAAGGTATGATGAATGAAAATCGCATGCAGGCGTTCTGCAATTTTTGTATCGCATTTGTAGTAGTATACCCAACGAGCTCCCATAAACTATATCGCCATAGTCAAAAAGCGACAGTATGAGATTCTGACAAAGGAAATACTTTTGCTTAGGCAGTAAACATTTTTAGAGTTTGGAGATATTTCTTAATCGTATGTAAGCTGCCGTCAATTTTTTCTTTATGTGTGGTTCAAGTGATAATGCAATATCGAAGATTACGCCTAGATTCTTTGTTTCGTGAACAATGGGAACTATCTCATTGTTTATACGGATATTCAAACTACGCTCAATATTTCTCCTAAGTTTGAAATTAGATTCCAAAATTAAAGCTTTTGATTTAGAAGCATTGAGTCTTAAATTGTGGCGTATGGCAAAACTGTTTACCTCTAGCAGGTCTGAATTAATGTGATTTTCGGTTGTGCCTAAATTGTCGTTATTAATAGAATACAAAGTTGTGAGTCATCGGCGTACTGATGAAGCCTTGCATAAGCAACAGCTTCAGACATATCTGCCACATAAATACTAAACAGCAAGGGCGAAAGGATTGATCCTTGAGGGACACCTTGTTTTACAGGTTTAAATTAAGATTTGAGGCAAACGGATCCTTGAGAAATCATAACACAGCTTGATCGAGTACTTAGGTAACTTTTTAAAAAACTTATTGCATTAGGTGAGACTCCAAAATAGTTTAGCTTTGCCAGCAGCATTCTGTGATTTAGAGTATGAAAAGTTTTGCTGAAATATAACAAAATAATGCAAGTAGCATTCGGACATCGTTTAAAATATTTACCAAGCTTGTAGTTGTACTAAAATTCTTCCTGAATCCCGATTGCTATTGAGGAATGATATTTTGCTATTCAGAAAATTCCGACATCTGAACAAAAATGTGCTTTTCTATAAGACTTGACACAGAGGACAAAATACTAATTGGTCTAAGGTCTTTAAGTTCTTTAGGCACGCCAACCTTTGTTATGGGTTTCACAATAGCCTGTTTCCAAACAGAAGGGTAAGTATTTTCCAAAAGACATGTGTTAATAATATTAATCAATGCATTGCGCAGAATGGAAGACACAATTTTATGTCTTTGATGGATATGCCATCCTCTCCAATCGCACCTGATGAAATGGAATTAACAGTTTTTATTAGTCTGCTCCGATCTATCAAATGAAATTCCAAATTATTATTTACAGCTTGATTATTTTCATAAAAACTGATTAAGTTTAATGATGCAGTGTCTGGCATGTTATCGGTCATCTGAAAAAATCATGTATCTCAGATGGATTTAAGAGATTATCAGGAAGTTCAGTCAGGGTACTCTGGTTGGTCAGATTAAGCCTTCGCGCGGCTTTCCAAAATTCGTTTTGTTTTTTTCTTACTAGTTGATTAAAATAGGCAACTTTTTCGCGGATAATAGCATGTTTAGTGAAATTTCTTAGTTGTCTATAATATCTAAGGTGCTGATCTCTTTTTGGATCTTAAGTATTTTTTATGGGCTTTATCTCTAATTTTTATCAAAAGTTTTATGTTTTCGGTTATCCAGGGAAGAAACGGCTTTTCTGTCTTAATTTTTCTTGTTTTTAGAGGAGCATGTTTATCAATGATTGTTAAAATATATTTAAATAATTTCACCTTTTCATCTACATTGGTACAATAGTAAATAATATTCCACGGAAGCTGCATACCATCATAGAGAAATGACTGTTCACGTATATTATTATAATCGCGATAAGTAACGTATTCTGGAGAACTGTTTATTTTTGGAATGTTAAAGACCGAATAAACTAAATTATGGTCTGTTATATTCTCGTCTATTGGTATGGTTCCTGATTTAACTGTTAGCAAATTTTCACTTACAATAATCATATCAATCAAAGTAGAGTGTGATGTCAACATATCATATCTAGTTGGCTCAGATATTTTTGAGAGAGATTGAATGACTGCAATATATTTTTAAAACGCCTGGTGTGATCAGATTCACTCAGACAATCAATGTTAAAATCTCCTGTGACGATCAGACAGTCATAACCAACAGCAACTACACCGAGCATGTCCTCAAATGTATCCAAAACAGCAGCAAAGTTACCGGAAGGAGGTCGGTAAATATTAATTAAGAACCAAGTTTTATTATTAATTTGAAACTGAATACCAACGAATTCAAAATTTTCATCTAGGAGACGGATATCCAAATTTAATTTTGTTGGTTTAATATTTTTTTTAAAGTATATAGCTACCCCACCCCCCCGACCAGCTCTATCCCGCCTTATTAGTCTATACCCTGGCAGGGTATAATTATAACTCTGATCTTCAGTGTTTAACCATGTTTCGGTAAGACATAGTAGGTCGAAAGAAAGTTCTGAAGCATAAGAAGAAAACTCATCATCATATCATCATATACTATTATTGATTATAATACTTCTGAAATGAAACAAAAACGTTGCATTGGCCGCTTTTTTTTCATTTTTCGATATTCTAGACACATATCCTCCACAAATATTATTTTTTTATCTTTTGCTTTGATGTTGCTTGTTGATATTGGTAGAAACTGTTTGAGTATATGAACCTCAGATGCTCATTCACACAATCGAACATCCACTTTAGGTTTCACTTGGAAAAAAGAGAAGCGTAGCACATGAATCCTTCGTGAGCCGCGAAGCATTTACATAAGTATGAGGTAATCTCCTGTAGTCTTTTACGGACGTGTAGGAAACAATAAAGTCCGGATTCAGATAGGATAGAGTGAATATGGAGGGAGGCCAGGAAATGGTGCCAGCAACCAAGCGTAATCTCAGTAGCGTACAGAGGAAATACATGGGGCTAGACAGAACCTTACTGTCGAGAGTGTAGAGGTCACAAGATTCAGAGTCACGGAGATGAGGTGTTACTATATGCCCCATAAATGTCAATTAATTACATACGAGTTTTGTGTAGGCGGATCCGCCGTTGGAAATTCCAGGAGTGGGAGTATTTGCATGTTATGTTAGTTGGTTTCCTAACAAATAGTCCTAGCTCCGTATCTCAAACGTGTGACCTGCCTTTGATATAAGTCGAGAACATAGAAAGCGCCAGGCTTGACATCCAAATATGCTATTTTTCGAAAAAGGGAATATTAGGGATATACAAAAATGAAAACTCAGCGTAAATTTTTTAATTATTCTGGTTGATACCATGAATATGAAGGGTGAGAAGAGCACAATATTTCTGAAGCAAAAGTTTATCAAGAAATAACATGATTAGACCGGTCAAATGAGCGAAAAGGACATCTGGGACAGTTGCAGTGACAGCAAGGCAGCGGTCGTTTTCGATACTATAGGTAACAAAATTTATAAAAAATCTGCAAAAAGGTCGATGAGATTTTTGAGTTTTCAAAAAATAATATTCAAAGATTTCATTTTTTTTTATTTTTCCGCCCACACTTAAAGCTCACAGCATTTTTATGGTAAATTAAGTCAGTCGTTTTGCAGTATATTAAACTAGTTAGTACCTTGAAACAATGCTGGGAAATCTACTAAAGAACAGTTTATGTATATCTGTATTTATTTGCTTATGCCAGACACTTTCTGCAACAAGGCCTCCCTGTATAATGGAGCAACAATGTTTCTTGAGTACACCGCTAACGATAATGGGTTGCTCTATGGAACTATTGAAGTGCTATGCTACCTCACTTAATTGAATGTATGAAGCTTAAATGCCAGTATCTCGTCGAGAGGTTGCACGCCAGGCCGCCTAGCTTTCAACAAGCACGACAATAATCACATTTGTTTGTAAGGTAAAATGAGAGTACTTGTGCAACGAGATTCAGCGGTACTAAAATATGTCTTTTTTATGACATGCAGCACAATCGTTTGTTTCTTTCTCTCCCGCAATGTATTAAAAAAACATTCCAACATCATCGAATTTTCTACCTATTTTGTAGAGTATTTGTTACTATACAGGGTATCCTGAAAATTGCTTTTGCAGAAAAAACTGCATTTGTAATAACAAAGCTAAAGTGTGGTGAAACAACAGCGAAAAAGTAAATGAAACAGTAATCGGCCTTCATCGAACAGAAATTTCAAGTACAATTCTCCCTTGTCAGCCTAGCATCGGTGTAGGCTGTTCCGAAGAGGGAAGTTGAGATTGCTGAGTTCACACATGTAGTTCGGCAAAGGTGTTCACCACAATTTTATACACTAAATACTTCATTAGGCCCCAAATAAAAAAAGAAATCACGGAGGATCTTGGAAAACTAACTACATGCACTCGCGAAGCCTCGGTAGTATTTTGGAGACACTCAACGTAAATTAAAATAGTATGAACAACTCCGATATTGCCTTATCAGCGTGCCTAACAACTTGTTAATCTTAAGACTCTGGTGTATATTTTGCTAGAAAAAGCCGCCAATTTTTCTCTATACGCCGTGTAAACGAAAGTACCAACTATGGTGACACCCTGTATACGTACTGAACCTCAAACGACCATTTCTTTGTTGCCCTTGAAACTGTTCTGGCAAAGAGTTATTACCCTAGTGTAGATAAGGGCCTAGAAAGAGTCACAAATATCCCGTTGCCAACCTACAGGCTATTGCCATTTTACCTCTCAAATGCTGGTGATTGAGTATTTTTGTAACACCTTTGGGGAGACATTTTTATACCGAAAAACAGATCTTTAAGACTGTAAAATAGCAAATTAATCTTGTTGTTACTGGCTAAAATTGGGAAAACTTGGCGACGCCTCAACGAATTGTAAGCATTCTCGAAAGCTGAGTAACAAAGTATCGAAAGTACTGGCCATGTAAAAGTCTTTACCGAGTTATAAAGAAAGGGAGCTCTGCCTCAGATCAAAGACCGTAAGTTTGGAAAAAGCTTGGGACATCCAGTTAAAGACGATTAATCAGTCGGTTTTGTACTTTTTGGCTGTGCAGAAAAAGCTCAGTTTCTCCGCAGAAGCTATCGTGATGGACGTAGCAAATGAGGACCTCAGAAGTCTGAATTCCCACAGGTCTAAGAAAATTAATATCAACAATCCACCAGAACCGGCTGTAGATTTGGATGCCTGTAATAAAAAACAAATTATTTATTGTCCAATTCCAGTACAAAGAAACAAACAAAAAAATCCACATGTAATAGCAAGTCCTTCAAACAAGCAACCTCATTGCAGTAACTTTAAAGAATGCTAAATTAGTTGTGCTATTATGAGAAATCTAGAGACATCTCTTGCGTTAAAATCCATCAAGCCGTTCAAGGTACTATATGAATTTATAAGTTGATATTTTAGATCAAAATTTTATAGAATCTTAGCATACCAGGTGTTACTCGCTGTGTCAAGACAAATAAAGAGATACCTCGTGTATCAAAACCCAAAAAGATATTCAAGCTGTAGTTCGTGAAGTCAGAATTTCAAGGTTCAATTTTTTCATTAAAATTCGCTATAACCCCTGAAACAGGAATTTCTAGAATGATCTTTTTTATTACAATCTCCCGTTTTGCTTCCATAAAATCTTAACATAGCCAGTGTCGCTTGCATCGCTAAGAGACATCCAACATGACTTTGCTTCTGAAGTAATCGGGTAAAAATGGACTCGACGCCATAAGGATGTCAGGGCATATATCAATAAGCCTCAGTGAGGAAGGATAGATTACCACTCAAAGCAACGACATATATATCACAACTAGTAGAGATAGCATTGAAATTTTTTTCCGCTGTGAGCAGAGGTAAACTGTACCCTAAGTTGAATATGGAAACTAATATGAAATAGTAAATCTATGGCAACCTAGTCAACAATGGTGAAACTGGTCAGTAGTTGGTACCGAATTCTCGATGCTTGCAATCCATGTGAAATTTACCACATACAAGGAGTTGTCCTTCTCAGGATAGATCCTTCAACTTTTAAGAACATAGATATTCTGGGATACGACGTTACAGCTTCTGCCTTTGTATATTATGTAATAACTATCCCAAACGAATGAATAACACTGTAATCTGGAGCGAACAGACGCAAAATATATCGTATTCACACCTTTGGAACTAGTGAACTATTTACAATTTCTGAGTATGTATCCCGGTATTCTTACAGCTTCACTCGCTTTTACCTGTGTGTACACCGTGAAGCTAAAGCTTGCTTCAAACCATACACGGAGGTCCTTGACTAGGAAACCAGGCATTTATTTTTCTCTCTAGGAAGACTTAGGCCCGCATCGTCAGACGTCCCTACCATTGTAGGGCGTCTTTATGGCCTCCTTGATTGTCATAGTTTTCTACTTCTCCGTGTCAGCGCTCTATTTTGAGGTCATGTCATAAACATCTATTTGCATCAAATTGTGCTTGCTTTTGAGTTATATCATGTTTTATCAGCCTGAAATTTCCTACAATTTAAAAAGAAAACATATCTTCACAATAGGAGAGCGCTGACGCTGACACGGGACAAGTGTAATCTAGAAATTTTTGAAGGAGAGAAAGGAGTATGACAATCAAGGAGGCCACAATTGTCGGGACGACTGACGATACGGGCCTAAGGTAGAGTATTGAATGTATACGACGTCTAAAAATAACTTAGTTCTGAAGCCACACAGCGCTGGAGACGAGTCATCCACTCCTCATAGCAGTGCTGTAACTCTGATACTGGAATAGCCTTCAGCTGGTCGGTTGCAGCCATTTGAGTATTTTCGTGTGTCCGAAAATGAGTTTTCTTGAGGTGATTTTTTAACTTCAGGAAGAGAGTAAAAAGTCACAACAACTTGATTTAGGCCAATAAGGCGCCTGAGCAGTCACAGGAATGTTTTTACTGGCCAAGAACTCGTTTGTTGGCTTTGCTGTGTACATTGCATTATCGTGATGCAATTGTTCTTGATCTGATGAACGGTGGTGCGTGTCAAATTTAACTCCTCTCCGATCATTCTGACTGTTGACCGACCATCTGAATGCACAAGATCCCCAGTTCCGTTGATATTTTTATCGGTTCTTGAAGATGAAGGCCTTCCGCTTCGTGGTTCATCTTCAACCGACTCTCTGCCTCCTGAAAATGCCTTATACCACCAAAAAAAAAAACGGGCTCTTGATAAAACACTGCCTCCGTAGGTCTGCTGAAGTTTAGCAAAAGTTTCCTTTGCACTGTGCCCAAGTCTGAAGCAAAACCTGATAGCACTCCATTGCTCGGAGTCTCACTCATTTTTAGAACACAGAAAAATCGCTACGGACAACCAAATGACTCGAGCGAGTTCAAACTTGTACTGCAACCGGTTCACAAGAAACAGAAGCTATCAATAACAGCAAAAGAAATTGCTGGATGAGCTCGACTCCTTCCGTGTTTTCAAAGGTGAATAATATTTTTATTTTAGGATTTCACGTCAAGTATTCAAACAAAAATTTCTCCAAAACTGGCTTATGCAAGATCATCAAGTTTCAAGGGAGATCAAGTAACCATTACTGAATAAAAACTTTCACATCCAGGTAGGTAGCTCCATCAAAGATTCCGGCTACGCGTGCAGGCTGGAGAATTACGTCACGAAGTGCCCCTTTTTCTTTTGAGGAAATGCTCACTGTTTTCTGGAGGAAGTACCCCCACTGTTTCAGTTTAACTACGCCACTCCACAAGGGGAGCATTATATATTGCGGAAATATTAAAATTTTATGAGAATGAAGACGCAGAGTTGGGAAGATGTGTATAGCGTAGATACGTTATCTTAACGGTTACTATCGGATTTATCGCGCAATTCGGGGGCTGTAGGCGGTTTCCAGACATTTATGTCATTGAGAATATTGGGGTTGTGAAAAAGTAGCCTGCTGACTGAAGACGGAATGTTTTATCCGCATTGTGGGAAGTCATAATCAAACGGGGATACGAAGCATTACAATTATCTTTGTGGAATGAGAGAAAAGTAGAGCTGATAGAAGCGGACGCCGTCGTCGAGTTGCCGGGAAGTTATGGTTTCCTACTACCGTACGTAGGGGGTCAGTAGTACCACGCTTAGCAGTGCTAGTAGTAGTAGTGGTGGGCAAACGGTTGGTCACTGGGTCCAGGGGGGGGGTGTGAGGTGCTGGTACTGCACTCCAATAAAACCCTTGTGAAACGCCCCCTAAAGCTACGCGAGTTTGAGGAACTACGTACAGAGCATCTTAACTGCCAGACCTCAGAAGCGTATACGCAGGTCGAAACCACTACAACAGGAGAGACGGGCTGTAGCACCAAGGACGTTGGGACGCAAGTGAACATCGACTATCAGGCAACCAAAATTAACAAGGAAGTAGAAAATGGGAGCTCCTTCGAAGAATTCGCCACCCTCTTGGACACTGAATGGCCTGAATACGTGTATAAAACCACGGAGTGCGTGGGGCCTAATCCGCTTAAGGCAGGCGACGAGTGGGACATGGCTCTGGTTATAGATGCTGCTAGCCCGGCAGCAAAAGGAGCGGTCAAGTTAGTCAAGGAACGATATCCAGAAATTTCGGACTTAATCGGTGGTCAAATATTAGAGGGTGGAGTAGAATTCATGGAAATGTCGACCAAAATATCGACGAGCCGTGGGAGGCAGGACAATAAATCGAGATTTATCTTCCTACTGCCTTATAAAGTGGACCCTGACGGAATAAACGATATGCGAGACCTATACCAAGTCTTATGCAACTTGAGGGAGGAAACCATAAAGCATTATCGCCACAAAATAGTTGTAACTACCCCGGAGGAACTGGATAAAAACTACACTAGAAAACTGCTGGAGTGTGTTTTCAGGAAAAGTGGGATACAGGTGAAGTACGCTGTACAAGGAAAAGTAGCAGCTGAAGTAGGACCAAAACAAAGCCACCAGACCGACAAAAAGTCGAGCACGTCAGGAAACAGTGGTGGTTAAAGGGCAAGGGAAAACTTTGCGGAATTGGTCAGAACAGTTAAAGAAAACGTTGACATCAAGAAGATTGATGTAAATGTCACAAGCATAAGGAAACAAGAAAATGGTGACCTAGTCCTTGTGGTGGAAGGAGAAGGTAAGACAAATGCCTTAAGAGATGAAATATCGTCGAAGGTCAAAGAGGTGGATGCACGCACAAGGAACTCGGACGTCACCCTTTTTGTGTTTGGCATCGACCCTTCGGTAACGACGGCAGAAGTCTCGCAAGCCATTACGACTGACACCGGCATTGAGGGCTCTCGCTTTCGGATAGCCGCACTAAAAGTGGGTAAATTTGGAAAAAAGACGGCCACGGTGGTAATGGATAAGATACCAGCAAAGCACCTAATTCAAAAGGGACGTATAGTGACCACCTGGTCCATATGGCCGGTGAAGGAGCGGGTCTCGATCTTGCGCTGTTTCAACTGCCTAGAGCTTGGCCATAGAGCTGAAAGGTGTACTGGAGCAGACAGGAGAGGTGAATGCAGGAACTGTGGCCAGGCAGGACCCCAACGGAAAGACTGCAAGAACACCTCGTTTTGCACTACCTGCAAGACAGCTGGACATCGAGCAGACCAAATTAGGTGTCCTGGATTTAGGAAACTGGTGAACCAGGCAAGGATATCAAGCCTGGTGTCCAGAGGATGGAAGGATTAAACAACAGCCACCAAACCCATCGCCTGTATCCTCCAATGTAATTTGAACAGGTCCAAGTTGGCTCAAAATGTGCTTCAACAAGCTACGCAGGAATACGCGGTGGACATGGTCATAATTTCTGAGCAGTACAAAAATGAAAAACATTCCAACTGGTACACAGACCAAACCGGAACTGCTACAAATTGGGTTAGGAACCAGTCCAACTTCCCAGTATCCGACTATGGCTCTGAAAACGGTTTCGTATGGTTAAAGACGAACGAGAACCTACGTAAGCATCTATTTGTCTCCGAACGACAAAGTTGATATATTTCGGGCGAAGTTAGACAAATTGGAAGAGACTTTGCAAAACTTGGGCAACAACGTTGTCTTAGCTGGCGATTTCAATGCAAAATCGACCGCATGGGGCATGGATTGGACCTGTTCGAGAGGTACAGCGATCATTGATCTAGCAGCTAGATTCGACCTAACTATCCTGAACACTGGCAATACATCCACTTTCTGGAGAAGCGGTCAAAGAGGGTCAATTATTGATATCTCTCTGGCATCTTCTTCAGTAGCACGCGCGGTGACAGAATGGGCAGTTCTGGAAGATTACTCTGGAAGCGACCATCAATATGTCAGGTTTAGGATCCAGCTAGAT